GGATGTGCTGGCCTGGGGGAGGGTGGGGGTCATTGCACCCTCCCATTCTGTCCAGGAGACCCTTGCTTCTTGGGGATAAGTGCCCTGAAAGAACCAAGAACTTTCTCTTAGAAGGGGTCTGGGTAGGAGGGACATGCATTCAGACTGAGGGCTCCAGGACCTAAGGTTGCAGCCGCGGCCTCGATGTCTGGTGATGGACCCTGCTACGTGCTGTTCCTGGCGAGCGCATCGGGCAGGGCAGGGAGCAGGTGGAGTCGTAGGGCCACGTGTGGGGGCTTGGCGAGGTCAGGAAACTGAGAAAACCCAAGAGGCTAGAACACCATCAGTGGAGGAGGGACCGAAGAGGGAGGCTGGAGAGGAACCAGTGAGAGGTGTGAGACCCTGTAGGCCGAGGTGAGGGGCAGGGTTTGTTTCAGATCCAGGAGGAAGCCGCTAGCAAATCCCAGCAGGGAGGGGCATGCTCTGGTGGGCATGCTTTAGGATTGTCCAGTTGGTGTGTGGAGGGTGGACTGTGGGGGCAGGAGAAGCAGCAGGAGGCAGATCCTGAGACATGGGGAGATGGACCAGGCAGGTGATACTGACAGCCCCCTAGGCATGGGGGCGGGTGTGGGGCAGGGTGGCCGTGTAGGATGTGCTCCCAGGGTAAGGCCCCCATACCTGCCAGTGGACCCAACAGAGGGACTGGGGGTCAGGATGACTCCTGGTTTGGGCCTGAGCAGCTGGGTGGGCATTGCCACCATTTACTGAGATGCGGAGGGAGTGGCAAGTCCATGGGGACACCAAGGGTTGGTTGTAGCCCAGCGAGGTTTGAAATGCGTGCTAGGTGGCCGGGCAGGGCCTTCCACCAGGCAAGCAGCTGTTCCATCTAGAGCCCAGCGGGGGCTCAGGCTGGAGGGCATGTGTGGGAGTCACCGATGGGGACCACAGACCACCGGGAGGCGCAGCTTCTCCTCACCACTAGCCCCTCATCCATCCCTCCCTCCACACCCTCCTCAGCCTGCCCTCACGTGGGCGCCACCCTGCCCTCCCCTGCCACAGGTCCCGTCTGCCGGCCTGGATCCCTGGAGAGCGCTGCCTGGCAGCGGCTCAGCTGTTGGCCTCTGTCATGGAGACGGCACCAGCTGCCGGCGATGGGCACTTGTGACCATTTGTCAGAATGCCCCCCTTCCTCCTGTGCCTGCCCTTCTGGAACATTTCTGTCCCACAGCCGTGGAGACAGGGCTCATGGAGGGGTTGCGGGACCGGGAGGGGCCGGGAAGCACTGTCTGGGCTCCACAGCGGGGCCGCCACCTCCTGGCCTTTGGCTTGAGGCTGCCTGGCTGGGCTTTCCCTCTGCGGCCAGCAGCTCCCCAGAGGAGCTGTGGCCCCTGTGGTACCGTGTCCCACACACTGGCCTTACATGGCTTGTTCCTCGTCTGCATTCCTCGTCCTCAGGCTGCCCTCTGAGAACTTCCCCCTATTTCACAGATAGGTATTGCCCCTAATTAAAGTGGAGAAATTGTGCGGAGACATTGAGATCACACTGCTGGTAGTTGAGGACACCTGACTGAGGCCTTCACCTGCCTCCTAACCCCGGGGGAGCCCCCGGCACAGCACGGTCCTCGTGGCATGTGTGGGGAGATGAAGCGGCCCTCACTCGTGCGGCCGCCACCCCCTCCCTGCGCCGCTTGTTTCTGTTTCTCGTGGTTTCTTGCCCAGGCCTGCAGGCTCCAGCCAGGGTAGGCTGGAACGGCCTGCCTACTGTTTGCGCTTTGTGGTCTGGCCTCTTTGTTACCAAATGCTCTGGGGTTCCTTTGGGGCTGGGGGTGGGGAGGAATCTTCTCCAGTCTGGCCCCAGAGCCATGGCTGGCGTTCAGGGGCATTCGGGAAGCTGGGCCCAGGTCATGCAGAGCGGAGGCTGAGTCCAGCGACCTGGGAGGAGATGGAGGTGTTTCAGGCCTCCCACCAAGAAATGTGGCTCACCTCACTGAGCACCTGAGACCTCGGGGCCTCCAACGCCATGTGGGACCTGTGGTGGTGCTTCCCTGGAGACGGGACGCGGCGTCAGGCTCCAGAGCTCAGCCCTAGATGGGAGGTGGTGTGGGCAGGGGTGCCATGCTGCCGCCAGCCCAGCAGTCAGGAAGCACAGTGCTGCACACCACCCTCTCACCAGCCACCCCAGTCCTGCCCCATCTTGCCTGCATCATGCTGTTTTGGGAAGCTCCCAAATCCCTGGGACTCCAGCTGGGAAGCATTGCCCAGGCGCCCTTCCCCTGCAGGCCAGGCCTCCGAGGGCACGCGGAAAAGCAGCGCGGATTCCTCCAAGCCTGTCCTCACCACCCACTTCTCACTGCTAGTGTCATCTGGCCCAGGGACCCTGGGGAATCTGCTTTCATCCTCTGGGTTCAGTTTTTTCCTTTTGTATAATGGGGAGGCTCCTCTCACAAAGTCCAATCCTTCGCACTGAATGACTCTTACTAGACAAGAGATGGGAAAGGGGTCATGGCCCAGGGACCAGCGAGCTAGGCTCTGGCCCTAAGTAACTCCGCGACCTTGGTCAAGTCACTTCACCAGAGTTTCATTATCCGTACAGTGAAGAAAAAACTCAGGGTCATAATGCTGATCCCACATGGATCTGTGCTCCAGGCCGTGGGGTACAGCCCGAACAGCACAAATCCCTGACCTCGGGGGCTTCTAGGAGGAGGAGTGGGGCAGTAAACAGGTGACCAATGTGTGGAGAATTGGCCGGATGAAGATGAACTCTAGCAAGAGAAGAAAGCCCAGCGGGGGACAGCTGTGTCTTGGCCTGGGGTGGCGGGCATTGCCCAAGCGTGTGGGAGTTCAGGAAGGTGACGGGGTCCCAGGGACTATTTTGGAGGCCCAGCTGTTTCTCTTGTGCCCAGGGATTAGTATAGCGTGGGACACCCTGGCATGGCTAGGCCCAGGTAAGCAGTGCTGGGAAGCCTGGAGGCAGGTGCGGCGTTCCCCCCACCCTTCCCCGCCCCCCCCGCAACCACAGGCCTCAGAGTCATGGCTCCACACCGGCCTCAGGAAAGGGCAGATTTCCCCAGAACGCTGTAAAACCAAGAGGAGGCCTCCCAGGCTGAGACGCAGGTCGTCCTGCGCCCTGACCCCGCTCTGCCTGCTCTCCAGGCAGCTGTGCCTCCTGCTGAACGCGGAGAACATCTTCCACTCGATGGCGGATATCCTGCTACGGGAGGAGGACCTCAAGTTCGCCTCGACCATGGTCCACGCCCTCAACACCATCCTGCTGACCTCCACGGAGCTCTTCCAGCTAAGGAACCAGCTGAAGGACCTGAAGACCCTGGTAGGCTGCGTCCGTGACTCCATCCTCAGGTGTGCTCCTGCATGCCGGGGGCACACCGTGTGTCAGCCCGCCCCTCGGCTGGCCCCAGGAGGCTGTCAGGGAGAAGATGGGGTTGAAATCGAGACCTCCCCTGGTCCATTGGGAAATAGGGATCCTGGGTGAGTGGCTGCACACAGCACTCACCACAGGTGTGTCATGTCACCCGCACTGGGGTCTCTGCCAGCAGAAGGGTCCAGGTGTCCATCCTGACCCCCCAACAGCCCTGCCTTTTCCGTTGGTTGACACCCTAGTCCCACTCCAGGCACTGCCCCCTTGAAAACAGAGGCTCTGCTGGCTGTGGGCCTACCCGCTGGTCAGTGCTACCGTCTCAGGGCCAGGCCTCTGGGTTATAACCGTGCTGGCGAATCAGGGGTTAACTGCTCTTCTCGCCCTCCTTGGCCTGGCCCCTCTCTCCCACAGCTGGGCACATCTGGCTCCTAAGGCACCTGTCATAAGCCAGGGTGTCAAGTTTGCTGCCGATCCATCCCAGGCTCTGGATGAGGACGTGCCAACGACTGGTCCGAGAGAGCAGAAAGGACGCTCAGTCTCCCTCCCCTATGAACAAGGAGACATGCGGGTCCCAGGCCTCTCATGTGCTGGCTGAGGGTGGTGGCTGCAGAGGCCGTGCAGGGACAGGCGCTGTCCTGGAGGCAGGGACTCCAGGGGTTTCATTTCCCAGGCCCCCTGCCGGCTCAGACCCTGCTTGCACCCTCCCCAGGAGCCTCGGGGATATCCAGGCCCATGTCCGGGGGCATCTGGGGCCAAGTGGCTCTGCACGATCCAGGCCACAGCCCTGCCTCCCTCCTGTGGTTCCTTCCAGACATTCGCAGAGGCCTTAAGAATTTTCCTCCGGGGCAGGGGCTCCCCCAAGTGTGGGCTGGGTTCCTGGGTGGTTTCCAAGTGTTCGAGGTGGCCTGCAGAGGTGGGGAGGAGACGGCATTTAAGTGTGCTTCCTCCCTTCCCTGCCCACTCCCCCGTCGCCCTCCCAGCCCCATGGGGCTCCGGGACCACAGAGTTCTGGAGGGGGGCAGGGAGTAGGGGACAATTACTGTGATTTTGCCGAGGGCAGACATGCCAGCACAAAGGACAGCCACTCCCAGCCAGGCCCTCACAGCCACTACACAGCTCTGGGACTGGGAGGTAATGACAGGGTCCACGGAGGAGCTGTCAGCGTTTCCTTTGTGACAGCTCGTTCCCAGCCGGGATGCCTAACAGCCGGAGTGCTAAGCTGGCTCCGGCTGCCCCCGACCAAAGACCCCTGGGTCTTAAACCTGTGGCCCTTCCCTCAGGTCCCCACATGGACCGGGAGGTGGCAAGGAGCGGGGGTCTCCTCACGGCTCACACCTCTTCCCCCACAGGAGAGCCAGAACCTGTTCTGCTGCCTGTACCGCTCCTGGTGCCACAACCCAGTCACCACGGTGTCCCTCTGCTTCCTCACCCAGAACTACCGGCATGCCTATGACCTCATCCAGAAGTTGTATCCTTCCTCTCACTGTGGTTGGGGTTGGGCCACTGAGGGGCAAGAAGGGGTCGGCTGCCCCCTTTTCACCCAACAGGCGGGCCCAAGTGCCATGCTCCTGTCCCCACCCCTCCACTCAGCCTCAGGGCTTGTGACATCAGGGCCACCAGGACCCTGGGAGGGGAGGGATGTATTTGGGAGAGCGAGGTTGGCAGCACAGAGGGGCTCCTGGAGGGGAGCTGGCCCGGGAGAAACCCTGTGGGTTGGGATTGGGACTGAGGAGGCCCAGCCCGGCGGGTGCCAGCAGGTGATGCTGGGCTATCTTGCTGGGGTAAGAGAGAACCACAGCTCCTGCCCCTGGGAGAAGGTGGCTGCCCTCTGCTCATTGCAGTTCCTCCTGGGCCTGGTGTGGGGGTAGGGGAGAAGGCCCGGAGCTGGAAACATAGGTGGACGGCTGGGTGAGCCTGCAGGCTTCGGCCCAGGCCTGGGCCTTCGGGGGCCACAGAGCTAGAGCCCAAGAGGCTTGAAGATGACACGCTGGGGAGAAGCAGGCTGGGCGGAGGCCTCGGAAGCAGGAGGCACCAATGCTCACCTCAGCACCGCGCTCCTCAAAAGGCATCCAGGGTTAGATGTTTTGTTTTGTTTTTTTGAGACAGAGTCTCGCTTTGTCACCCAAGCTGGAGTGCAGTGGGGTGATCTTGGCCCACTGCAACCTCCGCCTCCCAGGTTTAAGTGATTCTCCTGCCTCAGCCTCCCAAGCTGGGATTACAGGCGTTCACCACCACGCCCAACTAATTTTTGTATTTTTAGTAGAGACAGGGTCTCACCAAGTTGGCCAGGCTGGTCTCAAACTCCTGACCTCAAGCGATCTGCCCACCTCGGCCTCCCAAAGTGCTGGGATTACAGGTGTGAGCTACCATGCCTGTGGCCAGATTTTTTTTAAAACACCAAGAAGCAAACTAGCCCCATCCGTGGGTGCCTGACATGTAAGCCAGGATTGGAGTGCTATTTAGAAGGCAACATGACCAGCCAGGAGTTGGGAGTCAGGAAGAAGAGGCCAGGAGGTACCTCAGTGGAGGGCTAGGTGTGGGCCTGCCTGACTCCCCACAGTGGGCCTGCTTACCTTCTACAAGCTGGATTTGCTCCTCTCAGCCACTTCTGTGACCCAGAGACTGGCGGGCCACTGCCCAGCGCCGCAAGCCTACTGCAGCCCTGGCGAAGCCCTGCTGGCGGGAGAGGAGAGAACCCTTCCTGCCCATCCCTCCCCCAGTGGGCTGCAGCCCTGTGATAAGAGCCTCTCCCAGCCCAGGGGGGTGCAGAGGAGGCAGCTGCTGGAGCGGAACCTGGAACTCCCGAACAGGGGGATTCCATTTAGGACAGAAAGGCGAGGTGAGAAGAGACTGGTGTCCTTTGTGCGCCAAATCATGCTTCACCGGAACCAGGCTCTGTGCACAGGAAGCTAGGCGCAGGTGGGCAGGGCGCGTGGTGCTCTGAGCTGCGGCTGTGCTGGCCCAGCAGTCACACTTTCCTTGACTGCACACACAGTGGGGACCTGGAGGTCACCGTGGACTTCCTTGCAGAGGTGGACAAGCTGGTGCAGCTGATCGAGTGTCCCATCTTCACATGTAAGAACCACCTCCCACCACGCCTCACACCATGAGCCCAAGGCTGGCCTGGAGTGGGGTGGCTGGAGCCAAGCTCCAGTTGGTCTCTTTTGGCTGGGGAGGGAGGAAGAGCATTCACCCCAGGGAAGCTTCTGGATTGTTGAGTCCCAGCACTTTGGGAGGCTGAGGCTAGAGCATCTCTTAAGGGCAGGAGTTTGAGACCAGCCTGGGCACCATAGTGAGATCTCATCTCTACAGAATTTTTTAAAAATTAGCTAGGCATGATAGTGCATGCCTATAGTCACCACTACTCAGAAGGCTGAGGTGGGAGGATCATTTGAGCCAAGGACATGGAGACTGCAGTGATCTGTGACCGCACCACTGCACTCCAGCCTGGCGACAGAGCGAGACCCTGTCTCAGAAAAATAAAAAAATAAAGACTGGGATGATAGGCCTGCAAGGCCAGCCAGAGCAGGGCTGGGGCATGTGGCATCAGAACCTGGGTACTGCCTGTATCTCTCAAGGTGAGTCTCATGGACATGAGCCAGCACTGACAACAGAACCCCCTTGAAGGCTGATACCAGGCCCCTGGGCTGCCCAGCCACCCCTCCGAGCCTGCTGCCTCTGCCCTGGCTCTCTGAAGTCGTGGGTCCCCCGGGTCCCGCTGCAGGTGCTCCTGTTGGCCCAAGAGCCATGCCTGCACCTCCCTGAAAGAAGAGTTGGCATTTGCTGGGAGCCAGTGGGCAGGAGCTGCCTGCTTAGTAACACTCAGGCTGAATGTGCAAAAGTGGCAGCTGGCTGGGGTGAGCACAGCTCTCGGCGCCTCGACATACACACTTTGAATGACGCTCGTGTATTTATAATGTGCAGAGAAGCCAAGCGGCCACCCTGCTGGTGCCCACCTTCCCTGCCAAGCTGACCACCCAGGCCTCTCATACTCTCTGGCAGCATCTCTGACCCGCCCAGCCTGAGCCCTGGAGCCCAAACTGAATGCAGGGGCTAAAGAACACCCATTCCCATCCCCTCCTGAGCCCCCTTCAAAGGGCAGCCTCGTCAAGCAGCAGGGTGCCATGGGAACTGATGCCCTGGAGACAGAAAGGCAGGAGGGAGACCCTGCTCTCCGCAGAGTGCACTAAAGCCTGTCCCAAGTGTGCCCAGCCTGACATTTCACTTCCTCGAGGGCCTCCCAGGGACACAGGCGCCCACACGGCCACCTGAGGTCAGGTCCTAAAAAGACCCCGCTCCCGCTGTTGGTCTGTCCTGACTCATCTCTCCAGTCGTACATTCTTGGCATTCCAGAAGCATCCCTGGGATGACTGCCCTCCCTCCCTGACCCTGGAGGAACTCCAAGCACCTTCCCCTCAAGCCCAGGGCTTTGCTGGGGCAGGGTAACAGGAGAGATACACCCTGGTCTCGCCCAACACCGTCCCAGCCCTGAGTCACCTGGTTCCTAGAGGTGGCTGGTTTGGCCACAGGCAGTGCCCGCTTCCCCAGGGCCCAAAGGGAAGAAAGGACTGGAAACAGGCTCATGCTTCTGCTGGGCAGCCAGGCCTGGGACAGTGGTGGTGGGGGTCTCCTCTGGAGGGCACCAGGAGGCCTCCATTCCTCTGCTCCCTGCTCACCGACACCCTGGCCCTAAGGCCTGGTTGCTCAGGCTCCCTGCGTCAGCGGGACCCCCTGTGTGGCCGCTGCTGGGGTGACATAGCCCCTTTCCCAGGGCACATGGCACATCCTCCACAAACAATGCCTGGGCTGGGCCTAGGGACACAAGAAAGTAGAAGCCAGTGATTCTCCTGGAGAGGCTCGCAGGAGAGAAGTGAGCCCATTTCCAATCCCGCCTCCCCTGTGCGCCTTGGGGAAGCTGGGACTGCCTTGTGGTGCAGCCAGCCATTAGCGGGCTCTGTGCTGCAGCTTGGGCTGGAATGAGTGCTGGACAGCCCTCCGGGTGTGTCTCTTTCCACCTGGCAGGGTGGTGGCAGGGCTGGCATGTGAGCCAGAGCCCCCAGAAGCACCTTCTAGACACTCTGGGGCTTTGGTGTGTGTTTCGCTACACACAAAAGTGTTTTTCCATCCTGTCCTCTCTTAAAGCTGTCCTAATCCACCGTCTTTCTCTCCAGCACACCCTATTTATAGCTCTCCCGTGCTGGCACGTGCAGAGCCGACTGGAGAATCTGTTACACTACGGGCCCCGAGCCCTCATATCACCAGGGAGGCAGCTGAGCAGGGGGCGGGGAACAGACCAGGCCCCACAGCGCATCTCGGGGTTGTCGGGCTGAGGTGACTGTTGGAAAGATCAGACAGGCAGGTGGGCAGGTAGAAAGGAAGATGAGATCATGGAAACTGCTAGGACACTCCTGGGGGAGGCGGGAGCAGCGCGACGGGCTGTGAAGGAGCCCCTGACTCGCTGGAAGCCACGGCCACCTGGCTGGGCCCACACAGCTGGGTCCTTGGGCTGTGGGTGTCATGGCACCAGGTCCCTGTGGTCCTGGCCAGTCGGAGGCAGGGAGGACGGGCTGGGCATGTCCCAGAGCAGTGCCAGGTCCCTGAACCCTGCCCTCTGCACACCCCAGATCTGCGCCTGCAGCTGCTGGACGTGAAGAACAACCCCTACCTGATCAAGGCCCTCTACGGCCTGCTCATGCTCCTGCCGCAGAGCAGCGCCTTCCAGCTGCTCTCACACCGGCTCCAGTGCGTGCCCAACCCCGAGCTGCTGCAGACCGAGTGAGTGCTGGCTGGGGACTGCTGCCCCTGCCCCGCCCCCGAGCAGGGACAGGTCCAGAGGAGCCTGGTGAGGAAGGGCCGTGCCGGGGGCTGCTGAGGCCTCCCTCACTTCAGCATCCTACCCCTTTTGTCACTGTGGCCACCATCCCCGCCCCCGCAGCCACTTGCCCCTTGGCCTTTTGTGTTCCACATCAGAGCACTGAGCGAGGGATTCTGGGAGCGTTCGCACGGTGGCCGGGAGTAGCAACACTTCCAGGCAATCAGGGTCCAGCTCAGTGACGCTATGCAAAATCTAAAAACTCTGAGGGCATCTGGAGTTACCCAGACAAAGGACCCTGAAGAGAAACTCCACGCAGGGGAAGGAGTTCCTGCCCCAGCTTAGAGATGGGGGCCCCAGTGGCCATCGAGCGAGGGAGGAGCCTGTCCTGGGCACCTCCCAGGCCTCACATAGCCCCTCTCCACACCCTGTCTGTGGCAGAGGCTCAACCCTGGGTCACTGGGAGGCCGCATCATTGCTAGGACCTTCTCAGCCACCTCCTGGGTGGGGTGGGAGGCAGGAGTGCACTCAACGCTCCCCTGCTCAGGTCCTGCCCATGGAAGGAAGAGGTCCTAGGCACCCCTCCACCGAGAAGATGCCCAACTTGGCAGCCTCTGGTCAGAGGGCTGCCGGCTCCCACCCTGAGCCCATGGCTGGCCCCTACCCCAGAGTCTGTAGGGCCGTGTCTATATTTGGTAACCCTTGGAGGCTTTGCCTCATCCACAGGCATTTGGCATCCGAGATGGAAAATTTCACTTGTCAGGTCGCCATGGAAACCAGCAGAGCCACTGAGAAGATTTACGCTGAATGGAGCGCGCCCAGCTTGCATCAGATGCCCTGTGTGTCTAGAATTCCCTCCCAGGCTGTTAGAGCCACTCAGCAGGCCTGGCGCCTTGCTCCAGCAAAGGGCCTCGGGTGCTTGCCCTTGCGATGGACACAGGCAGCCTTGAGACAGGCCTGCCCGGAGCCTCTGTGCGCTCCACACTGCTGGCTTTGGCTCCCACTGTCCCTCCCACCCAGACTGGCCCTCTGGTGACCGAGTGTGGTGCACCTGATCGGCTGTCTGCCCCAGACCAGCTGGAGAGGCTGAACCCCCAGAAAATGTGGCCCCCACCAAGACAGGCTCCTGCCTTCCCTGCCCCGTTTCCCCGGAAGGCAGTGCCCTGCAGTGGCAGGACTAGGCCTTGAGCTGGCTGCCACCCCAGCTGCTCGGGGTGCCGCCAGGTGGTCCCCAGGAGACAGTACCTGACGCAGTGTCCCCAGGGGAGCAGGGTCAGCCACGGAGGGGGGCGCGCATGTGGGTTCCTGGGGCCAGAGTCCTGTCAGCTCCCAAGAGACTCCAGGAGAGGCCCAGAATCCACACTGGGCCTTGCTGGCCCAGCCTTTGCCTTGTCCCTTCCAACGCCCCATAGTGTTAGGGTCACCCTGGCAGGCACCCAGGAGGGGAAGGTGCAGCCGGAAGCAGGGAGAAGGCAGGAAGGGCTGCTCCCCTGTGACCTCCAGTCTCCCTGTGGGAACCAGCCTGCCTTCCTGGGAGGCCTCCTGGCCAGGGAGCCAGCCCCGCCTCTCCCAGGGCTCTGCATGCTAATCTTGTCTTGGGAGGGGAGTGGAGGCTCAGAGCAATCATACTCCTCAAACCAGGGTAGAACAAGTTTGCAGAGGGAAGCTGGGAAAATTGGGCTTTCCTCAGAATCTCCCATGGTCAGTCAGGGAAGTCCTGAGCCAAGGGGTTGAGGTCTCTGGGTAGAAGATTCTGAGGGTCAGTGCATGGTTTGCAGGCCTAGAGTAGGATCTGGTGTGAGCTCTGCCATGGATTTGCTGTGTGACCTCCAGCAAGCCCAGTGCCCTCTCTGGGCTCTTGGTTACTTGGTCAGTAAATGCACATTTGGACTAAATGGGTGTGTGAGGCACCCCCTAGCCTTCAATGCCCTGGGTCCCCAGTCTTTCTTTGCAAGAATCTAGGAAGAGATGCCATAGATAGGGGCACAGGAGCAGTGGGCACGCCAGGGGCCTTCTGAACAGCTGGGGAAGGGGTCAGATTGCAGGGTGGGGCCCGGAAGACAGCTCACACCCTGGGAAGGGAGCTGTGGACAGTCCCAGCCCTGTGAGGGGCAGACAGCTGGCAGACAGGGTCGAGTTGCGGGGCAGGCCTTGGAGCCAGGAACAGCTGGGGGAGTTTGTACACTCCTCGCCCATGCCTGGTTCTGTGTGCTCCAGGCGCCATCAGGGCCCTGGGGGCCACAGCTCCCCCACCCGCTGGCTTCTGGGCCACTCCCCAGGGACTGTCTCCTCAGTGAGGCAGGAGGGAACCTCTAAGAAAAAGCTGGTGACAGGTGCATGGGTGGGATGGCAGGAGTGAGAGCCAGCCCTGAGTCCTAGACTCGCCGTACTGTGCTGCAGGCTGGCTGGCCTCAGCCTCGGTGCCCGAGGATGGTTATGAACCTACAGAGGACGTGCAGGGCCTGAAAACGGCCATCCGTGTTAGGTGGGGCAGGGAGAACTGGCCTGGCCTCTGTGCTCAGCAGCCCAGGCAGTGTCTCCCACTCTTGGGGACACAGCCCACCCTGCTCCCAAGACCTCAGGCCAGGAAGGGTCTGCCCATCACAGGGAGCAGGACTTCTTGCCACTCTAAGGGCTCAGGGAGCAGATGTGGCCCACTCTTTCCACCCCCGCCACCCCGATGCCCGTCTCCCCAGGTTTGCCATCCAGTGCTGAAAGCATCTCTCTGGAGCCCCTAAGCTCCCCTAACCTAAGGCCTTGGCTTGCCAGGAGTGTCGTGGGGAGCAACGCACAGACCCACGGGTGCCCAGCATCAGAAGACACACTTTAGGGTCACACTTGTGGCCTTGGCCTAAGTGGGTTAGAGGAGCGTCTGGCCACACCCTGGACTTAGGGTTGCAGAAGCTCCAGGGTGTCCCTTGGCCTCCTCAGAAGTCCAGGCTGCTCTCTTGGAGCAGTGGCACCTGAGACCAGCGTTACTGTGCCTGGGAGGTCCCTTCCCAGGAGCAACCACAGCCTAGAACACTGCCCGCAGCCTGGCCCTCTAGAATGGGCCCCACCCGGCTGCTTTTGATCTTTGTTGAACTAACGTCAGCTGAACCCCGCTAGGGAGGCAGGAGCGCCAGGCCCAGAAAAGCAGCAGCCGCAGCCGTAGACACGTCCAAGATGTTTTCTGGTGGTGCATCTTCAGCAGGGAGGCGGGAAGGGAACAGGTGTGGGCAGGCAGAGCTGAGCAGGGGTGCAGGAGGCCGCCTCCAGGCCCCAGATGGCATCTCAACTGTGGGAAGAGTCCCCCTGCCCCAGTCCTGCCCAGCAGGCTGGTGGGCCATCAGAGGCAACTGTCAGGCTCTGGCCGTCAGGCTGGACTGAACTAACTCATGGCCAATAGTTCATTTTGGGGGAGCTCCATTGTGTGTCCCCCAAAATGGCCTCCTTTATTTCCACCCTCAAGCTGCTGGGCCCCGGCTGGCCTCACGTTGAAGGGGCAGAACTGTAGCCACAGTGGCACCCGCCAGGTACCTAAGCTGAGGCTGGACACCAGGCAAAGCTCTTACACATCTTGTCAAAGCATCTTAGCAGCCACCCCAGGGCGCTCCTTAGGTAGCCCTCGCTTTGCAGACGAGGAAACAGTCACGTGCCCAAGTCACACCGCTAGGAAGCGGTGGAGTTATAGTTGGGTCCAGGTCTGTCTAGTTCCTGTGCTCTGCCACTGCCTGCACGCCACCCCGCCCCCACCCCACCAATTGGCATCTTTTCATGAACTTGAAGGGCCCCAAGATTCTCAGCTGAGCAGTCCACAGTCTTCCTGAGACCCCTTTCCAGGGCCGCCAGGCCTCAGGGCCTGGAAACAGATGCTTCCTAGCCCACACAGATCTCCTCCAAACCAGTGAGGCCAAAGGGAGGGAGTAGAACATTTCATGAGACACTGCTGGAGGGTGAGTAGGAATGGGACAGGAGCCCAAGGGGATCTCATCCCCAGGGGCAAGCTAAGCACTGGGCTTGACAAGGACAGCAAGGCTACCGCATTGCACGATTATAGGGAGCATCATGCACACTAGCTGTGCAGTGCACAACCTATGTTGCTGTACAGAGCAACTGGAGAGGGGGGCAGCAACAGGAATGTACGAGCTGACGGCATGTCCAGTGGTGAGACCGGCTTTCCTCCTCCCAGGGACAGTGAGTGACTGCAGGCCTCAGGGCCCCAACACTCAAAAACAAATGTCCTGCCAAGTGGAGGGCCCAGCAGAGGCTCTTCAGCAGTTCCCGTTCTCCCCAGTCCTAGCCCTGCCTCAGAGAAAGGGCCAAGCTGCCACCTCCCCCTTCTCCGCCGACCCTGTTCCAGGCCCCAGCTGGCTTCCTGGCTGGCTGCTAGCCCTGGCTTTCACCCCAAAGGGAGCCACTCGTAAACAGGAAATGCTTCCCAATGCGATGCCTGCTCTGGGCGCCATCACCAGCCCACAGGCCGAGGGCAATAGCCAAGCAGCAGTGTTGGCTGTTCCCACCAACTGCGGAAGACGGGGATGTTCAGGGGCTTCCCAGCTCTGGGGCTGGCTGTGAGGGAAGAGTTGCCAGGCCTGAGATGCCCAGAGGCTGAGCCCAGCAGCCTGTGGCTCTGCCCCGACCCCACTGCCCTCCAGCAGTAACCCCTCTGTGAGCGGATCCCCTGACACTGAGCGTTTCTGCTCCCTCTTCCCAGAGACAGTCTAAAGGCAGCCCCCAAGTCCCAGAAAGCCGACTCCCCTAGCATCGACTACGCAGAGCTGCTGCAGCACTTTGAGAAGGTCCAGAACAAGCACCTGGAAGTGCGGCACCAGCGGAGCGGGCGTGGGGACCACCTGGACCGGAGGGTCGTCCTCTGACAGGCCTGGCACAGAGGAGGGCCCACCGAGTGGTCCCATGAAGCACTCAGGGTTGTCACGCCCTCCTGAGGAGCTCAAGGACCTCCTCTCAGGACCAGGGCTGGGCCTGACTGCCAGCCCAGGGCGCTGTTGGGGCCGGAGGCTGCTCTGTCTGCCCAAGCTCCTCTCAGAGTCCAGCCCTCAGGCCTCCAGCGCTGTCAGCTGCACCCTAGCATTCACACAGAGCTGGCTGCCCACCCTGTGGGGGGCTACAGCCTCAGACACCACTCATCCTCTGGAATCAACCTCTTTCTAATGCCCTCTTGGAAAAAGAGCTTGCCTCTCCTCCAGCACACCAGAGCTCTGGCCTTGTGTGTATATGTATACATACGTGAACACATACCTGTGTGTGTGTGTGTACTTGTATGCACGTAGGCACCAGCACAAAGATCTGAATGATGCACCCCACCCCCACCCCAATAAAGAAATAAGAGAAAATCCTCAACACGAGCCGGCCTGCTCCTTCCCAGCTGACATCTGCAGTTGCCTGGGGTCCTCACCCTCTGTCCTGGAGATTGGGGCTCATGATGGCCCCAAGGAGTACTGGCTGTCCCAGGGCCTGGTGCCTGCACTCAGCTGAATGGAGTCATGGGCCTAGAGCCTAGGTCCCCACCTCTGGAACCCACACCCTCCTAGAGCGCACCACGCACCGCCTGCCCTGGAATCCTGAACCCTGCCTTCCCCAAGCCCCTCATCTGCCTTTCTCATCCTGACTCCCTGGGGCAATGGGAGTTCTCCACCGGGGAGATGGGAGCTGAGCCCCAGGAGTTCCTGGATGAAAGGGCAATGCACACTGCAGAACACTTTGCAGATCACTGCGCAAGGGGAGGAAAGGCCCAGAGCAGTCCAGGGAGGGGCAGATGCCCCAACCACTGCTTCAGCTGAAAGAGCCCCTCCTCACCCGCAGGGGTACCACCTGCCCCCCGGCTTTGGGAACCCTGGGCTTGGTCTCCAAATGAGCTTGTAATTGGCTCCCTGCCGCCCATGGAGTAGGGGAAAAGGAGCTTATGCCTGTTCTTCCCCCCCGAGTGCGCCCCCGCACCATCATGCTGCCCCCCAGGATGGGTTTCCCTGCCTGGAGTGTCCAGGACAGGCTGCACTTGACATTGCTACCCCACGCACGTGTGTGCATCACACCCACCGTGGACTCAGGCAACAGAGACCAAGGACAGCCCAGCTCTGCTCTGCTGGTCCGAAATGAGCCCCCACCCGCGAGGACGGAGGTTGTCCAGGGCCCAGGAGACCACCACTGCCCCCCAAAAGCCCAGCCTCGGGCACCCCGTCTGGGTGGCATCGGCACCACTTGGAAAAGGAGCCAAGAAACTTGGAACGGTCCGAACTTAAGGAGGAAGGTCTGCATGCGATGAAACGTCTTAAGGCGGGCGGTCCCACGATACCCCGCGCCCTGTTCTGTGCAGTGTATCCCATTCAGCCGATACACCGACCAAATCCCGCCACTGTATTCACTGCCCGTCTTTAGAAGCGCGGGAAGGCCCCCGCCCCAGGCCAAAGGCCGGAAGGTGTCGTGGAGCGCCTACCCAGGGGCTGAGAGCCACCCGTCCCGCTCCCGAGTGGGCAGGGCTGGCCCCGCCCCAGCGCCGCCCCCCGACCCGCGGTGGCGCCCGAGCCCGTCGGCCCCGCTCGCCGGACCAGTCTGGCAGCGCCCGAGCTCGGATTTCAAAGCCCTGGTTTCTGGCCGTGAATGGGCCTGCGCCCGCGCGGCCGTTCCCACAGCCCCCTCCCGCGCGGCCCGCCCTCCTTCCCTCCCTCCCTGCGGTCCTCCCTCCGCCGCGCCCACGTGACGCCCGAGCCTCGGCGGCTTGGATTACCGCCGCCGTCAGTCCGCGCGCCGAGGCTGCGCCGCTAGCTCGCGCTAGTGCCGCGCCGCCCCGCGCCGCCCGCCAGCCCGCTGCGACATGGCCCGCGCCGCCCCGGAGGCCCGCGACCGGAGCGCGGCGCGGCCGGCCGCTGAGCGCGGCCTGGAGCGGGAGGCCCGGCCCGGCCTCGAGCGAGCGCCCGGCGCCCGCCCCTCGCCCTGAGCGCGGCTCCCTGCGCTCCGGCCCCCGCCGCGCGCGGGCCGGCCCGGCCGGCATGGAGACGGCCGAGAAGGAGTGCGGCGCCCTGGGCGGGCTCTTCCAGGCCATTGTCAACGACATGAAGGTAACCGGGCCGCGGCGGGGCCGGGCGCGCGGCGGGCGGGTGCGGTCCCCCGGGACGCGTGCGGCGGGTGGCGAGCCCCGTGTGGCCCGCGCGCGCGGTGTCTGTGTGTTCCTTGTCTGAGCGCGTCCTGCCTGGGGTTGCTGAGCGCGGTGTTCTCCGGGGCCGTCTGGGGGTGAGGGCTCAGTGTGCGGTGTCCGTGCGTGCCCGCGGTGGCCCGGGGTCCTGACCCGAGCTTGTGCACACGCAGGCTCCCTGCGTCCCAGACCGCCAAACCATGAATGGGATTTGGATCCAGGACCGACTCTAGGGCCCTTTAACGAGTCTGGGTCTTGGCGACCTCCGCGCCCCCTTCCACCACCATGTTCCCCCAAGGCCCGGAGCCCAGACAATGCTGTCACCGCCAAGCAGGAAAAATAATAAAGCGGAGAACCGTTAACTCCTTCCCGGCCGACCTGGGCCTCTGCGCCCGACCTGAGACTGCCTCCCAGCCCGCCCACCCCACAACCCAGGAAGCTCCAGGACTCAAGGTCCCGGGCTGAATGTCCCTGCATCCCAGGATAGGCCTTGATCATCCTTGGGAGGAGGGCGGGATGAAGGTTGGGGTGTTGGTGGGCAGCCGCAGGTATGAGGCGCTATTGCTATCGTCCTATGTACCTGGTGGAGCTGTGCTGAGCCCGAGCTCCCGCTCTTCCCAGGATTGCCTAAGTCAGGCGGGAGCTGGCCACCCATTCATTCCTCACCCCAACAGGTGGG